CACTTGTTGGTGATTCTTCACAAAATTTTTTTTTCAAACTTTATGTTTGAAGCCTGAAATGTGGCAAAAGGTTGAAAAGTTCAAGGGGGCCGAATACTTTCGCTAGGCACTGTAATTACATTACCACTTTTTATAATTATGCAATAATAGTAACTTTTTTGCTTTTATGGCTCTGCCAACTGAAAAGGTTCTCGATATCTGCCTTAATGTGATACCACCATGCCACATCAGGAGTAGTCATCAGGATTACTTTAGTTTATTGCATCAACTATTAATGTAATCTCTCCCCATATTTGCCACATTTTCCATAGTTGTATACTTACTTTCATTTTGAGTATGTACTAGACCTAGTTGCATCTATTAATGTAATTCCTCACCCTCGTCCACACAACCACAGAGATCATGTTAAGTAGATAAGGACCCAGTTTAACAAATATGGAAAAATTATCAATCTTCTTATTTGTTTTAATTGCTTAATTGCTTTCCTCAAGTGAATGGGGGTAAAACAGTAGCACAGTGAGTAGCATTGCTGCCTTGGTTTGACCCTGAGCTCAGCAGACTGTGTAGAGTTTAGCATATTTCTCCCATGTTAATTGGTGCATGTTAATTGGGGCAGTGGTGGCTTGGTGCGAACATTGGTGGCATGGCGGTTAAGGCTCTGGGTTACTGACCAGAAGGGGGGGAGTTTCAAGCCCCAGCACTGCCAAGCTACCTTTGAGCAAGGCCCTTAACCTGTTCCAGGGAAGACAAAATTTGCGAAGACAAAATATTTGCAAACAAAATTTCACTGTGCTGTAATGAATGTGATCAATAAAGACTCATTATCATTAATGTCAGGTTCCTCCGGGTCCTCCCAAAAAAAAAAAAAACAATGCAGATATGTGGATTGGCTACACTAAATTGCCCTTAGGTGGGAATTCATGTGTGCACTGTGCCCTCTGTTGGACAGGCATCCCACATGAAATGAATTTTCCCACCTTTAGCCCAGTGCTTCTGGGATAGGCTCCAGACCCACTGTAACCCAGACCAGGATAAAGTGGTTACTGAAGATGAATAAATGTAGTAAATGTCGTCCTATTATCAAGTTGTTGGTTATGTGTCATAACAAAACAAATAATTGGCTAAAAATATCCATTTGTTAACGGTATACACCAATCAGCCATAACATTAAAACATTGAAATTTGACATGAATAGCATTAATTATTTCATTATAAAGGCACATTTTCAATGTGTGAGATATGTTAGACAGCAAGTGTACAGTCAGTTAGACAGCAAGTGTACAAGTTGATGTGTTGGAAGCAGGAAAAATGGGCAAATGAGAAGATTTGATCCACTTTGACAAGGTTGATTTGCTGCCAACATCTTAGTGCCAGATACCACAGCACACCTTTGGAGATCTTGTGGAGTCTATGCTTCGATGGCTCAGAACTGTTTCGGCAGCACGGGGGGGTTGGGGGGGTTGGGGGGGGGCGTACACAATATGCTCCTGTTTCAGTGTTATCACAGTGGATCAACCATCCGTATACTGATTCTGGCACAAGTTGTATGCCGGATGCCCTTCCTGACGCAACCCTCCCCATTTTCTGGGCTTGGGACCGGCACTGAGAGTGCACTGTCTCATGCAACCTCCAGTGGCTAGGGTTGATTTCCTGACCTGGAACCAACCCGGAGAGCCACTAATCCACCAAGGAACCTGTAAATACCAGCTGTAATTAGCAAATTATCCACAATGCATGTATTGCAATCTTTGAATGCTAATTTGAAATGTGGGAGATTTAGCCAACAGAAGAAAACTCACAGAATTAATCAGCAATTGTTTCAGTACTGATATAAGTGCGAACAGTGATTTTTACACATTTAATAATGAAACTCCAGTTTGTCAAATGCCATGAATGAACTATTCTTAGCTTAAATGATAAGTACTAAATGATGCTTATATGATGCTTAGTACTAAAGTGATTACTTTTGTTTCATAACAGATGTTTCATATGATGTTATTGTCATGTATCATGAAACTCTGGACTCCAGTTCCCATCAGACACTGCACTGCACTACCTGTCACATGACCACCTGCACCTGATTCACATTTTGTTAATGAGCACTCATGGGTATTTATAGTCATTGTCTGCACTGTTTCCTTGTCTTTCGTTGTCTTAGACGTCTGTCTTTCATGCTACGGTGTTTTGTTTCATGCTACGGTGTTATGCCAAGTTGTCTTCATGTCCTTGATTTGTTATATGTTTGTTTAAATAAATCTTATTATCTGCACTTGCTTCTGCCTCAACCTTGAATTCATGACAGTTATATCATGTGTAATGTATGTTATTTTTCCAATAAATAGCTTAGGGTGCAAATGTAGAGGTAGGCAGGGAGTTTACAGGAAATAGCATGTTTTCTGAGGATAATACATGTATTAAATCAGGATAAGATCATTTTAATTGAGGCAATATAGAGATGACAGCAGAGTGACTGGGTAATTGATGACACCAAATCTTTTCATTAGATATAATGAATTCTAATAATCTATAAAGGTTATTAGCCTTTTTCAACAACCAAATAATGTATTTCTGAGGGGGATTTCTGAATAGTCTATTAATCTGTAGGTTAAGAATAAAAGCTTGTATAAAGATGGACCATTTTCATTTTCATGGTCATATTTATTATTTAAATATTTTATTACATATTAAATTATCTACAAATTAAATAAAGAGCAGTTGATTTTAGACAATCAATGTGTTGGCATCTCTCAGTGAAGTCAAAATGGAAATTTTTTTTGGGCATAAGCATGTTTTAAAATGCTACAACTTTACTTCTGTTTGAGATTCATACAAAGGAGAAATATGTTGCAGGGCAGTTAAACCTGTAACTTTCAGAATTTCATAATGGAAAATAACACACTTTCACCATGTGAAGAATATTCATGTCTTATATGCATTCTCTACAGGAAATCTTTACTCTTTATGCACATGACTACCTGTCACAATGTCACGGGCAGATGGCGCTGCAGCGTCGACATGCATGGACAGCTGCAGAGTGCGCGACGAGATTACGGAATGAGAACTGTTTCCGATGGACACGTGCCTTTGTTTTGGTTTTGTTCTCTTCCTGTTCATGCATTGGTTGATGTTCGAGGGTGTGTTATTATTGGTCCCAGCTGTCTATGTTCAAGCATGATTACATTTGTTATTTAAAGCCCTCATGTTGCTGTGCACTTTGCGCAGTATTAAGTGAATAAGTGAATGTAAACTTGAAGACAAGTATGCTAAGCGGTTGTGTTTTTGTGTCCTGTCCTCGTTCCATGCCTCGCATGGAAGCCCCGAATTACTGGGGCTTCCGGCTGCTGGGGGAACGCAAGCAGCAAGAGGTCTCAGCCCCAGAGTCCCAGCCCGAGGTCAACATGGCGACCTCGGTGCCTTCGCCTGAGGTCAACATGTTGACCTCAGAGCTCCAGCTGGAGACCTGTGGGGAGGCCTTGGCTGCCGAGGAGGCTACCCTGCTGTCCTGTCCTGCTGAGGTGGCTGTCCTGCTATCCTGTCTCGCCAAGGAAGCTGTCCTGCTGTCCTATCCCGCAGAGGACATCTCTCCAAGCTCCAGCCTCGCAGAGGACGTCGCCCAGCTTTACAATCCTGCTGAGGACGTCATCCAGTACACCACCCCCACTGGGGGTGGTGCTCTGCCTGTCTGCAGGCTGGCTGAGGCCGCCCTATTTCCTGATGCATCAAAGGACAGATTACACAGGTGCTCAGGACCATCGTTGGAGGGTGGTGCTCTTTAGTGCTCCAGGAGGAGCGAATTTGGAGGGGGGTTCTGTCACGATCTCACCATCAGATGGTGCTGCGGCGTGAACGTGCATGGACAACTGCAGAGTCCCGAGTGCACAGGAATATGGAATGAGAACTGTTTCCTATGGACACGTGCCTTTGTTTTGGTTTTGTTCTCTTCCTGTTCAGGCATTGGTTGATAATTGAGGGTGTGTCATTATTGGTCCCAGCTGTCTATGATCAAGTATGATTATGTTTAAGTATGCTAAGCGGTCGTGTTTTCGTGTCCTGTTCTTGTTCCATGCCTCGCATCCAGTTTCATGTTTAAACCTCAATTATCTTCATGCTTATTGACTTCAGTTTAAGAATAAAGACTTTGATCTGCGTTTGCTTCTGCTTATAGTCTCATTCCGTAACACTACCAAATATTTTACCCAGTTAAAACACAATGACTGTAAGGAGGACTACTGGGGAAATACTGTCTATTTTTATTAGTTTATTTAAGACCTACATTTTTTAAGACCTACAGGGAATTCTCATGCCCCAGTATCACAAGCCAGCATTCACTAGAGCAGGGGTTATCAAAATATTTTGGTCAGTGAGTCAAATTTAAGATTAAAGCTTCTCTTATCAAATTAATTCCGTATAACTCCAGTTAAATCCAATGCTGCTGTTTGCACAAAACCACCTTCACATGTATATTGCACATCACATTTAAGTGTTATAGCCTACACTGACAGTGCTTTTGTTGGTTCGTCATTATACACTGCAAAAGATAGTGTTAATTTTGTATTTCTGTAGTTTTTCTAGCTTGATCCCATGAATGTGCGGTGCAGAAAAAGACATTTTACTAATGCCCTGTGTAAATGCCACTGTATTGTACAATTAACATGAAGCTGCTGTGGCCTGGTGTAAGTAAGAATGGCTCCAATATAAAAGAGGGTTTATGAAATTTTACTAATAATAGTCTGATCATTTCAATCTTGATTTTAAAAATTCCATAGATCATGAATAACAAATCTCAACTGTGACCCTATCTCTGGTGACCACTGAAATACTCATTTTTGCAATGTTCACAATTTTCCTTTTGGAAACTGCAAAGAAGTGCATATACTGTACATGGAAGTGCACAGAGTCAATCATTTACATTTAGGGCATTTGGAGCAACTTACATTGATCTATTTTATACATTTGAGGGTTAGTTGGGGGCTAAGAGATTTGCCCAAGCAGTGACAGCTTGACAGGGCTGGGATTTGAACTCATGACCTTCCAATCAGTAGTCCAACATCTTAACCACTCTACCAAAATTGCACGATTACTAAAATGTAATCTGGGGTCATTTAGCACTATCTGTAGCTTATTCTTTCTTGCCAATAGGTGGCAGGATGTACAGTTGGTCATCATATATTTGTTGTAAATAATTACGCTATTTTTTTGGTTTTTCTTGTACTGTGTCTTGCTCTTGCCCTTTCACAATCACAACTGACCTGTTCTCTTTTTCCATTCTAGTTCTTTTGATGATATCTCATTGTTTATTTTTATACTTGCTAAAGGGTATGCATTGTAAAACAGAGTAACAGATCATCGTCAAGAAAACCTTTCAAGTATCCTTTAACTGTGTTTTCAACATCTTGCTATTTTTTTAATCATCATTTTATCTGTGCTATGTCAATAGCACAAACATCGTGTCTCTGCTACAGCTGTTGTCCATGCTTTAAGTTCAGACTAATGTAATTAATGAGAACTGACTTTCAGTGAGAATTGAATTCCGGCCTGGGTCTGGTCAGTGACCTTACAGAATAAACTCTGAGTAGCTCTGTCCTTTTCGGTATACTAGAGGTCAACAGGTTGAGAGGCAGATTGCCCGACTGTGCTATAATGTACCTTGCTGTATTAGCTGCTTGATCACATTCTCATACAGCTTCACAATGTGTCACTAAAAAACGAAGTCTTTTGAATTGAGAACGTGAATACCGATCATTATTTTGGGCTTGGCAGCTTCTTGTGAATTTCAGACTCAGAGCTATTCATATCAGTAGAACTGATCTATTGTTTGGGAGCATGACCTGAATATTTGATGTTGCACATTATGTTACCGTAATAAGATGATAGAAAGGACTGAATGAAAAAGAGCCATGTTTATGAGAGCCCTTTGTTTTTCATAAAGGTTTGTCTGATTAATAGGCTGGTCCTTGGACATGAAAACCAAGCAAAACTTTCAGAATAAAGCCAGGATCCTGAGAGACCTGAGACACAACTCAACAAGAAGTATGAGTATGTTTAGGCTGTTTCAAGAAAGCTTGAACTTTATGCTGTTAGCTCTTTATGGGTTTGTAAACTCAGAAATCTATGTGCAGATACACCACCTTCTGTATATACTACACTCTCCTCATATAAACAAGCATTACACTGTGGAACATACACCCACACTTGTGTCTTGCACATTAATTTGTACTAGTGGCTGCTTTTCCGTTTATGTTAAGCCAAAATGCAATGGTGTTACCAACATCTACCAGGCAACCACTGGCAAACAACATAAATGGTTATGTACAAACCAGAAATTAAAAACAAATGGACTGCCTCTTCCATCATCATCTGTCAGAGACCTGAACTCAGCTCCATATGAGGAAATGACTCCCTCACTTGATTAGCAGGGAAGCACTGGATCATGTTGTTTTGCTGGAAGATTACTTTTGTACTTAGATTAGCTTAAGTTGAGAGAAGATCATATTCTCTTTCCCATCTTTTCCCAAACCGTTAATTGAAGTGATTATAATATTATTTTTCTCTTCCCTGCACCTCAACCATGAACTGGTTACTAAAGACAGCACAAGATAAAGAGGACATGTGTGATTTAGTCTCTTTGTTGATCACTGCTGCTGTCACTTAGTTTCTAGTTTCATGCTGTGGAGGCCACTGGGGAAATATAGGATTTGAGAGGCCTGGTGAGATCATGGCTCCATTGACTGCCTCTCTGGGGACTATAACAGACATACAGATAAGGACACACACACACACACACACACACACACACACACACACACACACACACACACACACACCACACACAGATACACATACACAGAAAATATGTAGTTCACACTCGTGGATGTATAGGCAGAAGAAAACATGGCAGTAGTAAAGTGAAAATGGGTTTGAAATGATTGCCCAAGCTGATAGATTAAAAAAAACTGAAAAAAAAGAAGACTGAGGAAGACAACACCCTAGAGATGATGTTAATCCATCGATCCAATACCCAGGATTGGTATCGACTAATAACTTGTGGTTCAAATATTGGAGAAAAAAGAATAAATTATCTTAGTGCCTGTAAATTGGAAAGGTTTGAATTTGTATCTTTTGGAACCGGAAGTGTTTACATATATTCTTATTTGCACATTACATGTACTCTACATTAAAGAGGTTAACTGAATAAAAAGCTTAGGGTTGTTTTTTTTTTGTTTTGTTTTGTTTTCGTTCATATCTATTTGAATTTTTCCTGGCATTTTTGTGAAGTGCTTCTTAAACATATTTTTTTTAAATATAATTTTAAAGCGTAGAATTTTTTAAAAGAAGGGTATAAAGGTTTAAGTATTGATATTATCATCAAAAAAGAAAATTATCCTACATATGTTGTTAGTGGATGTAGAAAGTCTAGGCACCGCTGTCTAGGTAAATAGTAAGTTATTGTGATATGAAAATGAAACCATAAATGATCATAAAGTACAAAAAAATGAGAAAATGGAAAACAAGAAAAATAAATAACTTATAATAACCTGGTTGCATATGTGTGTACACCCCTTAACCAATAATTTGTTAAAGCACCTTTTGCTTGTAATACAGCACTCAGACTGACTTTTATGGGTAAAAGTCTGCCAACAAAGCACATAATACAGCACACTCTTCCTTGAAAATAATGCTCCAGCTCTCTTTGAATCATTCTACAGGCTTACGATGGGATTTACATCTGGGTTCTGACTGGGCTACTCCAAAAATTAATTTATTTGTTGACCAGGATTTGTGCATTGGGTCATTACTGTGCTAAAAGATTAAATTTTTCTTCACCTTTTGCTGCCTAACAGAGGCCTGCAGTGCTGTGCCAAAATAGATTGGTGCATGGCGCTATCCATGATTCCCTTTATCTTAACTAGAGCACAAGTCCCAGCTGAAGTGAAACAGCACCATAGCATGATGAATACAAGAAATTTTCACATGCAGGGAGTGACCAGCACTTTCCTGATGTTCTTGCAGTTCCTTCATGTCCTGACGTCCTGTTCTTTGTAATGTCACTGTGGTGCCCCATTTTCTCCACTCATTAATGATGGCCTTCATGGTGTTCCATGGCACATCTATTGTTTTGGAATTTTTTTTGTAAACTCTCTAATCTATTCCTTTCAAAAATTAGATCTCGTACATGCTTTGTAAGGTCTTGGCTACCATGCCTTCAGCAGTTGGATGAAACCAAGAAAATCTTGCCAAAAGAAAAAGCCAGTCTTTATTTGGGGTTAATCACAATCACTTCCTTGATGACAGGAATATGTATGATACTGTAATTACTTTTGAACATGAATTTAAATATGATTGGTTAATTCTGAGCACAGCCACATGCCCTGTCTTACAAAGTGTCTTTGAATTATTCAACACATGGTTAACTTTACTACTCACTTATTTCTGCCTGAATGTGAAAAGCATGGCTGGAGGGGGCAGAGCTGAGGTCTGAGGTCTCTGCAGGTCAGAGGACTGTTTTGGGCACTAAACAACCTGGTGCGCAGTTTACAGAGAAAGGCTTTTCAACACAGGGGTCAGCCCTTCACTGCTACTGACAAGAGACCAGTAAAACATGCAGTCTTGTTTTTAAGAACGCACTAGAGAGCTTGATGTTTTATTTGGTTTGGGTGGGATCAGTGATGTCATTAAGGAAGCAGAAATATTTAGCAGAAATGCTCAGCAGAAATGCTCAGCAGAATTGTTCAGTAGAAATGTAGAAATGTTCTGTAGAAATGTTTAGTAGAAATGTTCAGCAGAAATGTTCAATAGAAATGAAACTTTGGAACCCCAAAAACATATGGGCATAGGGTTAAAGCCATAAATTAATTGGGCAGGCCGTACAACGCTAGTTTTAATGGGGCTCTTATGGTGGTGATTTACATCTGCTCCTGGAGTCACTTATGGCTATCTTTAGCCTCCTAGACTTTTATGAGCCTGAGCTGATGACCATACAGCGCAGACACTGCTTTGTGTAAATAAACATAACCGGCATACCTGCCTCCATTACTCACACACCAACTAACAAAAACATACTTACTCCTTTCTGGTTGCATCATTCCTTGCTACTGAATCTTTTACCTTGCTCATGAGTGGAGTTAAAGCAATTATGGCTGCAAAACTTTCCTGAAACAAACTATTGTAAATCAAAATTTTTATCAAAATAAAATTGTATTATATATTTAGCACAAATTACAGTAGCATATTTTTTCAACTGGCATGTAAACTGTCCTCTAACTGAACTCATGTCCTGATCTGTAGTGGGTGGATTGTACATCATCTGCCCCCTTTCTGTCTTCCCTGAAAGCTTGATGGTGTTGGTTCTCTTCTGCTCCCATGATACAAGTATTTTACATTTGTGTAAAATCTCACTATCCAATGAGAACTGAAAACTGTGATTGCAACAGGAAGATGTTTGCTACAAAATAAATATATCTATTGTCTCTATATAGCAATCAATTGCAGCCAGTGGTTAAGTGGACAACTATTTTTATTGGTTTTATTTATTATAGCACACACAAAACAGCTCTCAGCTAATAATTGCTCTTGTTCTCACATCAGCCTAATTGGGATACTGTATACCAATGAATCAAAATGTCAAACAGAAACTATTAGTTCTCACTGTCTGCAGATGGGGTGGACTGCTAGTGATTAGAGCTTAAAATAATCCCTGCTATAGATGGATGGCATGATTTCAGATTGAAGTAAAGATGTCATTTTAGTAAAGTGAAAGTGCACATTTAGGTGCATTACCATACAGTGAGGGAAAAAAAGTATTTGATCCCCTGCTGATTTTTTACTTTTCCCCACTGACAAAGAAATGATCAGTCTATAATTTTAATGATAGTTTTATTCTGTGAGAGACAGAATAACAACAAAAAAAATCCAGAAAAACACACACGCCAAAAATGTTATAAATTGATTTGCATTTTAATGAGGGAAATATGTATTTGACTCTTCTGCAAAACATGACTTAGTACTTGGTGGCAAAACCCTTGTTGGCAATCACAGAGGTCAGACGTTTCTTATAGTTGGCCGCCAGGTTTGCA